AAGGGGGTTCCCCTCAGGGATTGCACGGGCCAAAGTGGGCACAACCTGTGAGTCCGTGACAGGGGGTTTGGGGTATTCTCGCCTTGCTTTCAACAAGAGACAGGGATTAAACAGGGGAGACACAGCCCCCTGCCTCCCCCCCCCCGCCCCAATTAAGTCTATTCCTCTTTCAGCCTCTCTAGGAGTCTGTCCCCTACCAGGGTTGGCACTGCCTGCCCATGGGGCTCGGGGGCGGGGGATTCACCCATATGTAGCTTAGGACCCAACTGCATGAGGGATCCCCTGGCCCTCCACAGACCCAGCTCAGACCAGACAGGGAGCCTGAGCTGTGGGCCCCCTGCAGCTCTGTCCCCTCCCCTCCGCCCGGGGTCAGAAATAGAGTCTGTGACTGGCGGGAGTCACACAAGACCCATCTTTCCCCAGGCCTTGGAAATGGGGGGGCTGTGAGTGCAGGGGAGGTTGCTGTTGGGGTGGATCTGTGGGCTTCTCCCCACTGCTGCACTGACCGTGAATGTTTTGGTTCTCCGAGGGGATCTAGAGCCCACGGATGGGCCCTGTTAGCGTTTGTATGAGCTGAAATAAACCCCCCTCCCCGATCCTCACAGGCTCACAGCCTGGGGGGCGGGGGGGCAGGACTTTGAACCAGTGGACAATTCAAATCCTGGCTGCTTCGTCAGACCTCGGGAGCCAGATTCGGCTCCTGGTTACTCTATGGGGCCGGGGAGAGGGGTTGGGGAGGAACGGGGACAGGTCTGAGCTCACGGGGGGAGTCTGGGTTGAGTTTTGGGGAAGGTTCAGGGCTCAGTTCCTCTTTTCCACACCCCATGCATCCCTTCCCCCATCCTTGATGTTACCGTCCTCCCCACAGACTGATACTCACCTTCCCCCACACACCCCATGGGCACACGCTCTGTTCTCAGATTCTCCCCCATGGGCACACATCCTGGCTGTCTCTGATACTCACTGAGGAAGAGGATGGTGAGAGCAGATGCCATGAGGGGGGCAGTGAGGGGCCCCTCAGCGTTGCCATGAATACCCCAGTGCCCAGCTCCACCAAGACCTGAATGAGGCACTGAGCCAGGGGCTGTAGCCACAGGAAACCAGTGATGGCTCGTCTCTTCCTGCGTCCCTCACACCTTTGCTCTCTCATCTACCAGCCACATCTACACCGTTGAGCAAAATAGCCCCAGCAAACCACATCCTCTTGTGTCACAGCCCATGGACCCCATGCTGGGCAGGGGGCTCCCCGGGGATGTGGGGTCACTGTCACCAACCCCCCCACCACCACATCGGGGCAGAGTGATGGGCCCCCTAGCCTGTGTCTCCCTCCCTGCTTGCTGGGGGTCTCAATGGTTAGATTGGGGTGGGGGGCTGAGAGCCAGGACTCCTGGGTTCCACCCCTGGCTCTGGGAGAGGCGTGGGGTATCTCCTTGTTCCAGGGCTGGGGAATGGCTGGCTCAGGGGGGTGAGCAATGGGACACAGGGTCTCTCCCCTCTGGGAGGCACTGGCTCTGATCCAGCCCCAAGGCAGGGGCACAAGAAGAGTCAACTATCCTTCACCAGTGGGTGGGGGTCCCGTATCTCTTTGCCCCTCCCAACCCATGTCCCCTCCTTAACCCCAATCCCATCCCCATTCTGCCCCCCGTGTTCCCTCATGTCCCTCTGTCCACCGTCCCATATCCCCTCACAGCCCTATCCCCTCCCCCACTCTGTCCCCCTGGCCCATGTCCCCTCACACCCCTGTTCTGCCCCGCAGCCTGTTCCCCCTCCCCCCTCCCACTAGACATGGCCGCCATCTCCCATTGCTCTCAAAGAGAGGGAAGCCCCTGGCTGCCCTCAGTTAATATGGCCGCCCCCTTTCTTTCTCATGCTGCCTCCTGGCAAAATGGCCGACACCTCAGTCTTGGGGGGGAACAATCCAGCCCTCCTGGACTGTCGGGGTGGGCAATGGCTGTGTGGAAATGATCCCCCCCAGCTGCTTCTCTGACCCAGCTGTTGTCTGTCCCCAGCCTGTGCCCCCCCCCCAACTCCCATCTCTTGATCCCACCCCATGGCCATGGGGGGTTATGGGCCTCCACCCTGCCCACCCCTCCCCCCGGCTGGAGCTGCCCCATCACAACTGGGAGTTAGTCTGAAAACAATCCTGCCCCCCACTTTGCTGTGTGTGGGGAGCTACATGGGAAAGAGCCTGCCCCCGCCCACGCTCACCCCCCATCAACCTGTCTCCACTAAAGCCTCCATCTCCCACCCGGCCTGTCCCCATGAGGGAGGGAGGCTGAGGGGACATAGGGATGTGGGGGACATTATAGGACAGGCAGCATGTGGGTCAGGGGGAGGAAGGGAAGAAGAATGTGGGGGGAGGGGAAGGGGGCTGAGACTGAGGGGGCAGGAGCTGAGGGGAGGCTGGGGCAGGACAGTGATAGAGGAGGGGGGATTTGGGGTCCCACCCATGTTTGTTTCAGGCTGAACCTGCCCCATGGCCATGGGGGCGCCCCCGTCCTCTCTCTCTCACCCCACCCGGCTCAGCAGGGGTTTTGGCAGGAAACGATCCTGCCCCCCACTCCCAGATCAGACCCACTGCGGGTGGGGGGGCTACGTGGCAAAGTGTGGGGAGCAGAGAAGGGGGGTCAGTAAAGCGTATTGGTGGGATGGGAATGTGGTTGGGGCAGGAGCATCTAGAGGGATGGGGGAGGAGGAGAGGAGGGGCCGGGTAAGGTATAGGGGCCATTATGGGGCAGGGAATGTGGGGCAGAGGGGGCTGCAGGGGGCTGTGGGTGGCAGGAGACTGAGGGGACAGAAAGTAGGAGCGGGGCACTGAGAGGGGAACCTGCTAAGGCATAGAAATCGCAGTTCCCTCCTGGGGGGCACCATCAGCCCCTCCCCCCTCACACCCCCAAACAATCTTGCCCCCCAGCTCTCACCTTCTGTGGGAAGCCTGTCTTCCCTCAAATTTATGTCCCCCATCCCAGCCCCCTCAGTCCCCCTCCCGACACCCCCAACCTACTTCCCTCAAAATCCCAGCTCCCCCCATCTGGCTCCCCCCAAACACCCACCATGGGGGCCCCCAGTGCGCCCTGTTGTGTTCATGGTGACACAATAAAGGGCCCGAGGTGCGAACACGCCCCAGCCCCTGCCCCACACTGAACAGGGTTAAACACGGGCCGGGGCGGGGTCCAGAGCCCGCAGCCTGCTCTGCCCCATGGCAAACCCCCCATTGACCCCTGGGACTGGCTATTACAGACCCAGCAGAGCAGGAACCAGGGGAGCCGTGGCAGGCACAGTGAAACGAGGGGTTTGTTCCAGCCCCGGCCCCATTTGCTGGAACGAGCCTCTAGCCGGAAAATCCCCCGGGTTTGGGTGTCTCCCCGCTGGCCCTGGAGATGCCAGTGACTGTCCTGGGGGGGCAGAGGAGCCAGTGGAGCTGGGCTGGAGCCGGCGTCGCTGCGGCTGTTGTTAAAGTCCAACTGTGACGGGTTCGGTCACAGAGATCCCTTGGGACTGTCACCTGACATACTGAAAGTACCTCTGAGCCCATTTTCCCTGCCAGCTTGGGACTCCAGAACCCTGCCTTGTTGAGCCAGACACGCTATGTCGGCTGCAACACAGACCCAGGGTCTGAACCACGTGCCCCATAGCTGCAGGCTTCAACTGAAAACCACTCCGCAGGTTTCCTATCTCCAGCACACAGACACCCAGCTCCCAATGGGATCCAAACCCCAAATAAACCCATTTTACTCTGTATAAACCTTATACAGGGTAAACTCATAAATTGTCCACCCTCTCACAGGCGCCGACTCCATGGGTGCTCCGGGGCTGGAGTAACCACGGGGAAAAATTGGTGGGTGCTCTGCACCCACCGGCAGTTCCCCGCCCCATCCCCCCCAGCTCACCTCCGCCTCCTCCCCTGGGTGAACCACATGCCCGCTTTTTCTCCCTAGCTCCCAGCGCTTGCACCGCAAAACAGCGGTTTCACACGGCAAACGCTGGTAGGGAGGGGGGAGGAGGGGGAATGGGGCATGGTCAGGGGAGGAGGCGGGGCCAGGGCGGGGATTTGGGGAACGAGTTGGAATGGGGGTGGGGCAGAGGCAGGTAAAGGATGGAGTCAGGGCGAGGCCAGGGGCGGGGGGGGGCACGAGCACCCACCGGCGCCGGGGAAAGTTGGCACCTATGCACCCTCTATGACACTGATAGAGAGATATGCACAGCTGTTTGCTCCCCCAGGTATTAATCACTTACTCTGGGTCAATTAATAAACAAAAGTGATTTTATTAAGTATAAAAAGTAGGATTTAAGTGGTTTCAAGTAATAACGGACAGAACAAAGTAAGTTACCAAGCAAATTAAAACAAAACACGCAAGTCTAAGCCTAATACATTTAAGAAACTGAATACAGGTAAATCTAACCCTCAGAGATATTCCAATAAGCTTCTTTCACAGACTAGACTCCTTCCTAGTCTGGGCCCAATCCTTCCCCCTGGTACAGTCCTTGTTAGTTCCAGCTCAGGTGGTAACTAGGGGATTCCTCGTGACTGGCAGCCCCCTTTGTTCTGTTCCACCCCCTTTTATAGCTTTGGCTCAAGGCGGGAATCCTTTGTCTCTCTCTGGGTTCCCACCCCTCCCTCTAAATGGAAAAGCACCAGGTTTAAGATGGATTCCAGTATCAGGTGACATGGTCACATGTCCCTGTGAGACCTCCTTCTTCATTACCCACAGGCTGGCCCCCAGGTCCACAAGAAGGCTTTCAGGTAAATAAACCATCTACAGCCAATTGTCCTAGTCAATGGGAGCCATCAAGATTCTAAACCACCATTAATGGCCCAGACTTTGCATGATTACAAGAGGACCTCAGAGTTAACTTCATATGTCTAGTTTCAGATACAAGAATGATACATGCATACAAATAGGATGACCTCACTCAGTAGATTATAAGCTTTGTCATGATACCTTACAAGAGACCTTTTGCATAAAGCATATTCCAGTTACATTATATTTACCCTCATAAGCATTTTTCCATAAACATATGGAGTGCAACGTCACACACAGCATTGGGGGTTTAATCCTGGGGAGCTGTTCTCAGGTCAGGAGCTGTTGGGGGGCAGGATTCTCCAAGATTGGGTGTTTGGGGGCAGGGCTGTTTGTGTTGGCGTCTCAACACCCCACGGGGAAGCGGCTCGTCCCCTGGAAGATTCTCTCCCTGCATGGCTGGATCCAGGCTCCTGGGAGCGCAGAGAGATGGCGGGTTAGGGGGGCCCATGTCACCCTGGGCCCAGCCCCTGGGGGGGGCAAGGGGCACAGAAGGGGGGATCACCTCACCTAGGGTGCCCCCCTTGGGCGGCTGTAAAAGGCCTCAGCCAGGATCAGCCCCAGGACAAGCAGGACCACGGCACCCAGCCCCAGGCGGGCGATGTTGGCGTTGGTGAAATCCAAGGGGGCTGCTGTGGGGGGAAGGGAAGAGTCACTTGGTGGCTCGGACGGGGAGATCAGCAGCTGGCACTGCCCCAGGAGTGGAGCCCCCAACCCCCCGTCCGGCAGGTCCGGCCCAGCTCCCCTCTGGGGGTCTCCCAGGAGCTGCAGTTCTGGGGCCTCCCTAGGGCCAGACCCCCTCAGGATAGGCCACGTCCTGCTGCCCCGGGGGGCTGAGCCTCAGCTTCCCTGGGGAAGGGGGCTCCCAGGTGGATGAACTGCCCCCAAGACACCTGGCACCCCAGCACTGGCCATGGGATGGGGACAATCAGAGCCTCAGGGTCTTAGCCCCCCAGAACAGGGAACCACCCCAGCTCCCTGTCCCCATAGGACCCCTCTGTCCACCCCCCCAGGTACCTCTGCCCTGGCCTGTCTGCTGTGCAGTGAGCCCAGCCCCAGGGTATCTCGGCTGCTGACAAACACTGCCGGGCAGTGCGCGCTGGGGGAGGCTGGTATGTTAACCGCTGTCCCCCACACTTGGGTGGTGCCCAGGGCCCTGGGGACCAGGGCACAGCCAGAGGCAGCAGAGCATCTACTGGGGGGAGGGTCAGGGGTCCCCTGAGACCCCAGTGTGGGGAGGGGAAGCAAGAACAGAGGGAATTCTGGGTAATGCTCACTCCTATTGCCAGGGGGATGTCATGTGGCCCAAGAAGGGGGGGGGCTATTGCCCCAGGACTCTGTCACTCAGCTGGGCCTAATTTCACAGCCCAGCCCCCCCAGATCCTGCCCCTCCACTGTCATCCCCCAGCAAATTACAGGCAGTGACCTGCAGGGCCGGAGGCATCAGGGGATCAGGGGATCTGGGGCTGACCCTCCTCCTGATGTCTGGGCCCCACCCACCCCTGGGCACAACGACCTGTTTCCACAGCAATTGTGCCCCCCAAGGCCCCAACTCCTCTATGGGTCCCAAGAACGGGAGCAACCCGTGGGAGCATCCCCCTGGGAAAAGGCCCCCCCGGGGCATGGATCCCCTCCCTCTGCTCTGAACCTCCAGTGGCTGCTGCTCCCCCTGGCTGGGGAACCCCCCAGTGACTCTGTCCCCACTGCCCGGTCAGGCCTCCCCTCTGCTGGGCCCAGGGCTCAGGGCAGAGCCTGGCTCTGAGCGTCCCATCGATGCAGAGACCCCCTATGGGTCTGGCTGGGTGTGGGGCTGGGAGCCGGGCCGCTGAGCAGGGCCCTTCCCTCACCTGCTACAATGATCTCGACGGGGTCGCTGAGTTGCGATGAGCGATTCTGTTCCGTTATGGGGCGATAGTCGCAGGTGTAGCTCCCTCCATCTTCCCGGCTGACACTGGCGATGGGAAATTCAGCCACGGTCCCATCAGGCACCGTCTGCACCTGCAGGTTCGGATGTCCAGGACCAGCTTTACGCAGAAAGAACTCCATGCCCAGGTACCAACCCTCACAGCGGATGGTGACGCTTCCCCCGAGCGCCACCACCCTGCTGGGGCTCACCCAGATGGTGGGTTTGGGAAATTCTCGCCCTGCTTTCAACAAGAGACAGGAGTTAAACAGGGGAGACACAGCCCCCGCCTCCCCCTCCCCAATTCAGTCCATCCGTCATTCGGCCTCTCTAGGAGTCTGTCCCCTACTAGGGTTGGCACTGCTGCCCATGGGGCTTGGGGGCAGGGGGTTCACCCAGACGTAGCTCAGGACCCAACTGCAGGAGAGATCACCTGCCCCACCCCCACCCCGGCCCCACCTGAGGCCAGCCAGGGAGCCTGAGCAGTGCCCCCCTGCAGCTCTGCCCCCCGCCCCAGGTTTGAAAATAGAGTCTGTGACCGGTGGGAATCGCACAAGACCCACCTTTCCCCAGGTCTTGGGAACAGGGGGGCTGTGAGTGCAGGGGAGGGAGCTGTTGGGGCTGGATCTGGGGGCAGATCTTGGGGGTTCTCCCCATGGCTGCACTGACCGTGAACGTTTTGGTTCCCCGAGGGGATCTAGAGCCCATGGATGGGCCCTGTTAGCGTTTGTATGAGCTGAAATAAATCCACATGCTGCCCCCACCCCCGATCCTCACAATCTGAGGGGGCGGGGGAGGCGCAGGACATTGAACCAGGGGAGGGTTCCCAGCTGCTTTGTCAGACCCCGGGATCCAGATTCGGCTCCTAGTTACTCCAGGGGGGGTGTGTGTGGGTGGGCACAGAAGAACAGGGCCGGGTCTGAGCTCACAGGGGGAGTTTGGGTTGAGTTTTGGGGAAGGTTCAGGGCTCAGTTCCTCTTTTCCCCACCCCCATGCAGCCCCTCCCCCACCCTTGATGTTACCGTTCCCCCCACAGACTGATACTCACCTCCCCACACCCCGCTGTGCCCGGCCAGCCAGCAGCCTGGAGAGGAGACGCTCGTTAGTGACCAGATCCCAGAGCAACTGGATCCTACACCCTGGTCTCACATTCCCCCCCCCAGTCATGGGCACACGCTCTGGTCTCAGATCTCCTCCCCCCGATGGGCACACGCTCGGGTCTCAGATCCCCCCCCCAATGGACACACACGCTGGCTGTCTCCCATACTCACCATGGAGGAGGACGGTGAGAGCAGACGCCATGATGGGGCAATGGGGGCCCCTCAACGCTGCCACCAACATCCTGGTGCTGAGCTCCACCGAGCCTGAGGCCCGAGTGTGAGCAGAATGAGGAACTGCGCCTGGGTCGCCTGTGATGCGCTCGGCCCTTTTCTTCCCCATCAGATGGTTTCTCTGCAATCTCCAGGCCAAATCTACCACCGTCAGAGAAAAGCCAGCTCCCTGCAATGCCCAGGAAACCACATCCCCTTCTGCAGCTGCCCAGTCTCCGCTTGCCCCATCACCTCCCAGCCCCATATGTGAGCTGCCCCGTCTGGGGACCAGCTGGGAATGGGAAAATCTCAGGAGTCGTCAAGAGGTGCCCAGGCTGCCCTGAGCTTTTCCAACAGGCCCATCTAGCAGCCCTGGAGCAACAGCTCAGAGGAGAGGAGGGCTCCCCCCTACACACAGTTCCCCCCATGGAGCGACCCTCTCCCATTGAGTGGGGTAGAGATTCCTTCCTGACCTGGCTGGGCCCAGCGCCCGCCCTGGAGCATGAGAGTGGAGGGGCTTGGACAACCTCCTTCTCAGGTAGGGTCACTGTTCACTGTGATTGTTGAAAATACTGCTGAAAGGTATCCCATACGTATAAAGTGATCGATCATTCAGGTGTGCACACCCCCAATCGTAGAGGTGCCGGGCCATAAGGGGAGGATTAGAGTCCTCTCTCCTACCCGTCTGTTGGGGAAAAATTGCATAGGTGAATATACCCTCGGTTGTAGCAGGATTGAGCCCAAAAAGTAGGGGGCTTAGCGTTCCCCCCTCCTGCTCGGTCAGGCAGAGTTTTTAGTGGGTATAGACTTTTTGTGTTTTGCAAGTCCCAGCACAAGCATGGGCAAATAAGAAATAGATATCTGTAAGACCTTATTATGAAGGATATAGGAGTGTGGGATATTGTTGTGCTTCTACATACAGATTGTCCGTTGTACAAAACACGTGCCACATTTTTTAGTTAATTTCAGACACATGTTTTTAATAATGTGTTTTTGCTACATGTTTTTTTGGTGACAGGTAGGGACAAGCACACCCATTTCCGAGGGCTTCATTCCATACACCCTTTTCTTTTTATTCGCTTACTGACCCATAACCCTGGGTAATCAACAGGATCCCATGGTCAATTTTGGGAGCAGGCTTACTTTTTATATTTTTGTTTTTACAGACTGTTGATGAGCAATTTTAACAATAATTTTACTTAATAAATTAGGCTTAACCATGCTGGAAACATATTGCATTTATTTAGATTTGTAGGTATTGAACAAGGACCCTTTTTGTTGTTTGAAAAGATGCGTTAATACCTGAACATTTCCAGATATTACCCAAAACATTTTGTGTTTAAGTTTAACGGAAAGAACTCAAATGTGAAATTGCCGAACTATTAACTATGGTTTGCAACCTGTCCTTTAAATCAGCTTCTATACCCAATGACTGGAAGATAGCTAATGTAACGCCAATATTTAAAAAGGGCCCTAGAGGTGATCCCGGCAATTGCACACCGGCAAGTCTAACGTCAGTATTGGGCAAATTAGTTGAAACAATAGTAAAGAATAAAATTGTCAGACACATAGAAGAACATAACTTGTTGGGCACAAGTAAACATGGTTTCTGTAAATAATATATGGAGATATACCTATCTTATAGAACTGGAAGGGACCTTGAACGGTCATTGAGTCCAGTCCCCTGCCTTCACTAGCAGGACCAAGTACTGTCCCTGACAATTCCCCCCGGCCTAAGTGGCCCCCTCAAGGATTGAACTCACAACCCTGGGTTTAGCTGGCCAATGCTCAAACCACTGAAGGGAAATCATGTTTTACTAATCTATTAGAGTTCTTTGAAAGGGTCAACAAACATGTGGACAAGGGGGATACAGTGGATGTAGTGTACTTAGATTTCCAGAAAGCCTTTGAGAAGGTCCCTCACCAAAGGCTCTTATGTAAATTAAGTTGTCATGGGATGAGAGGGAAGGTCCTTTCATGGATTGAGAACTAGTTAAAAGACAGGGAACAAAGGGTAGGAATTAATGGTAAATTCTCAGAATGGAGAGGGGTAACTAGTGGTGTTCCCCAAGGGTCAGTCCTCGGACCGATCCTATTCAACTTATTCATAAATAATCTGGAGAAAGGGGTAAACAGTGAGGTGGCAAAGTTTGCAGATGATACTAAACTGCTCAAGATAGTTAAGACCAAAGCAGACTGTGAAGAACTTCAAAAAAATCTCACAAAACTAAGTGATTGGGCAACAAAATGGCCAATGAAATTTAATGTGGATAAATGTAAAGTAATGCACATTGGAAAAAATAACCCCAACTATACATACAATATGATGGGGGCTAATTTAGCTATAATTAATCAGGAAAAAGATCTTGGAATCATCGTGAATAGTTCTCTGAAGACGTCCACGCAGTGTGCAGCGGCGGTCAAAAAAGCAAACGGGATGTAAGGAATCATTAAAAAAGGGATAGAGAATAAGACAGAGAATATTTTATTGCCCTTATATAAATCCATGGTACGCCCGCATCTCGAATACTGCGTACAGATGTGGTCTCCTCATCTCAAAAAGATATACTGGCACTAGAAAAGGTTCAGAGAAGGGCAACTAAAATGATTAGGGGTTTGGAACGGGTCCCATATGAGGAGAGATTAAAGAGGCTAGGACTCTTCAGCTTGGAAAAGAGGAGATTAAAGGGGGATATGATAGAGGTCTATAAAATCATGAGTGATGTGGAGAAAGTGAATAAGGAAAAGTTATTTACTTATTCCCATAATATAAGAACTAGGGGCCACCAAATGAAATTAATGGGCAGCAGGTTTAAAACAAATAAAAGGAAGTTCTTCTTCACACAGCGCACAGTCAACCTGTGGAACTCCTTGCCTGAGGAGGTTGTGAAGGCTAGGACTATAACAGGGTTTAAAAGAGAACTAGATAAATTCATGGAGGTTAAGCCCATTAATGGCTATTAGCCAGGATGGGTAAGGAATGGTGTCCCTAGCCTCTGTTTGTCAGAGGGTGGAGATGGATGGCAAGAGAGAGATCACTTGATCATTGCCTGTTAGGTTCACTCCCTCTGGGGACCCTGGTATTGGCCACTGTCGGTAGACAGGACACTGGGCTGGATGGACCTTTGGTCTGACCCGGTACGGCCTTTCTTATGTTCTTATGTTCTTATGTACTCTATCTTCTATCACTCTATCAGCTCAATTTATGCAGTATAGTAACTACTCAACATTCTTAACCAACCAGTACGGCCGTTCTTATGTTCTTATGCTAAACTAAGAATGTGCATCTCTGTGCATCCTATGGCCAAGGCAATTTTATTTTTTAATTTAATTTGTTGTTTATATAGCAGCTAGGAGGTGGTGTTTAGCCACCGCCACATATTTTATGTTGTTTTTAGGTTTTTTAGATTTATTTGTATTAAGTTTACAGCAATATTTGCCTGCTTGTGAATAAGACTATTTTGCAGTTGTGACAAGGAACTTAATATATTTTTAATTACGTTTAGGTTTATAGTATTAATAATTTTTGCTTTAAAACCATTTTTTAAAATATGGTGTTTACTATATTTTGTTTTGCTTGGCCATTGGAGTGTTGATGTGTTTTTATTGAGGCTGTTATAGTAGGAAGGGAGTAGGGTGAACATTTAGGTTTTAATTTAGACACGTTTAGCTGAGTTTAATTTATACCAATTTTTATTTGTATTAATAGTGGATTTAACAAAAATTTTACTGGATTACTTTGGCTTATAAACAATTTTGTTTTTTAATTTTAATTGGGTACTTTTTTGAATGCATAGTTTTTGCTGCATGTGTCCGGGAACTATAGATTCAATTTATTACAGGGTATTGGACAGTACCCCTCAATAACTGTTAGTATTGTTCCTGTCTTAACAGGCTTATTTTACTGATATGGTAATTGTGGGTAGCTGGAACTCCAGGTGGTATTTTTAAAGGGACCTTCTATTTTTATTTTTAGTGGTGTTTATAAGGTGAACTTTAAGTTCCACTTTTTTAGGCATATACATTGGTATTTTTTGAAGGTTTTAAGATTTGACTAGTGTTTTTATGATACCATTCCATGAGGATTACCTGATAACGGGTAGGAATCCATGACTGGCTGGTGGGGAGTGAATTATTCCTTAAAGATTGGTTTAGGAGTAGGGCTGCATTTTTTCCCATGATTGCTTTAATTATTTGGCACTAAAAGTTCCCGGAAGCAGCTAAAGCCAAACCTTACACTGGAGTTTTATTTTTTGTGGATTAAAATTGTGGTGGTTAAGCAGCGCTGTGTGCTCAGCTTTTGGGATGTTCTTTTCTGCAAAGAATTTAAACATGATTATTTATGTAAACAATTTAATTTGTGAAACATGTACTGAGTTTAGTTTTTTAGTTTTTCCAATGCGGTATACCAATGGGTAAGGCGGTTCACTATGGAGTAAGGGCCTATTCATTTCGATTTTAGTGAGTGACTTTTTTATTTTAAGGTACATGATTTGGTCCCCTGTTTCCCACAGGGCTGTTTTGTGGGCCTTTGTTTTTGAATTTTGTTGTTCATGTGTTCGATGGCCTGATTAACCCTATCCTGGAGGGTGGTTTTATTTTTTTGTAACTGTTTGAGCCATTGAAAATAATCATGCTGGGTTATATTAGAGCTCTCTTCTTCACCCTGTACCAGGTAACGCGGATCAATCATTAGGCGCATTGGATGTTCAAACAGAATTTGAAAGGGTTGAATTTTTATCCTTAGTCTATTACTGCTGTGGATGGCAGCCAAAATTAGAGGAAGTTTATCTGGCCATTTTTTCCCCATGTGATTTACTGCCTTTCAGAGCGCTTCCTTAATAGTGCGGTTCATGCGCTCTACTTGGCCTGAGGCCGGTCTGGTACATGGAGCTTTTGTTTAGTTTGTAAGGCTTGTATTAGTGTTGTAAAGATTTTTTGTACAAAGGCTCCTCCATTGTCAGAATCTATTATTTCAGGGGTGCCGTATCTACTCACTACCTCATTAAAGAACTTTTGGGCCACTGCCCTGGTGCTATTATCTTTAGTAGGAAATGCCTCCACCCATCCGGAAAAGGAATTAATTATTACCAATAAATACTGGAGTTTTTTTTTACTTTTTGGCAATTTATTAATAAAATCAATTTGAACCCTGTGCCACGGCCCATGCCTTCGGTGGTGCATCCTGGGTTGGT